TCTCAACTGCAACAAGTAAAACAGTAAAATCTAGATTATTAAACCTTAAATCTCTCTTTTCTAAGTGCCTGTTAGCACATCAATTAATAATTGATTAACAAATCTTACAGAAACCTGGTTACAGCATGATGATTATGTTAGTTTAAATGAATCAGCACCCCCGAGTTATACTAAATGTCAGAATCTATAAACCACAGGCAAAGGGAGGATATGGTAGCAAGCTTTGCACCTCAGCTTTTTAATCAACCACAGACCCAGGGAGTTTCAATTCATTTGAAAGCCTGATGCTTAGCCTTGTCCACCCAAGAAAACTCAAAAATAGTTTTATTTGTTGATATCTATTGTCCACCATGCCTTACTCAAGGTTTCTGTATGATTTCTCACTCTTATCAAATTTAGTGCTCAACACAAATAAAATAACTATTGTGGGTGATTTTAACGTCAATGTAGATGCTAAAAATGGTGGCTGCAGCTCAGGTGGTACAGCAGATCAGCTACTGATGGGAAGGTTGGTGGTTTGATTCCTGGCTCCCCAAGTCTGCATGCCAAATATCCTTGGGCAAGATATTAACCCGGAATTGCCCTCCGATGCGTTCATCGGAGTGTGAATGTGCATGAATGTTTATTAGTTGCACTTGAGTTTAGAAGTGCTTGTATAAGTGGGTGTGAATGGGTGAGTGAGGCTTGTTGTAAACAGCGCTTTGAGTACTCCGGGAGAGTAGAAAAGCGCTATATAAGAATCAGTCCATTTACCATTTAAAAATAATTAACAGGGCATTGTTATTATTTATTATTAGACTCAGTTAACTTCTTTCCAAATGTAGAAGAACCCACCCACTACTTTTCTCACACTCTAGATCTTGCTCTGACATATGGCCTAGAAACTGAACATTTCACAGTGTTTCCTGAAAACTTTCCTGAAAGCAAATTTAAAATGCTGCTCCTCACATACAAGGTCCCATCTTATCTTAATGACCTTATAGTACCATATCACCTATTAGAGCACTTCGCTCTCACACTGCAGGCTTACTTGTTGTTCCTAGAGTATTTAAAAGTAGAATGGGAGGCAGAGCCTTCAGTTTTCAGGCCCCTCTTCTATGGAACCAGCTTCGGGTTTGGATTCAGGAGACAGACACTATCTCTACTTTTAAGATTAGGCTTCAAACTTTCCTTTTTGCTGAGTTACGGCTGGATCAGGTGACCCTGAATCCTCCCTTAGTTATGCTGCAACAGGTAAAGGCTGCTGCGCAATTTCCATGATGCAGGGAGTATTTCTTCTTCAGTCACTTTTCTCACTCAGTATGTTTAGACACCTCTCTGCATTTAATTATTAGTTATCATAAATTTCTGGCTCTCTTTCACAGTGTATCTTTATCCTTCACCACCAACTGGTCGCAGCAGATGGCCCCACCTCCCTGAGCCTGATTCTGCTGAAGGCTTCCTCCTGTTAAAAGGGAGTTTTTCCTTCCCACTGTCATCAAAGCTCATAGTAGGTCATATAATTGTTGGGATTTTCTTTCTTTTCTTTGTACTTTTGGTCTTTACTTTAAAATATAAAGCGCTCTGAGGTGACAAGAAGCAAAGAAAACTAACTCAGGAGCACTGAGAAATAATACCACACTCAAGGACTAAATATAACAATTGAACATAAATCATGTCTCAAAACCCCAAAAATACATCATGATCCAGGAAAAAGATCAAAACCCTGTGTCCAAGACCCAGGGACCATGACAAAAATATATTTTACCTTTACGATCTGTAATGTAAATATCTAAATAATTTGTAAAATTACACTGAACTTAACTGAACGTCTCCCACGTTTAAGTTCAAATTATTTAAAGCGTGGAAGTACTGACCTTACTTTGAGTTTGATTCCATAAAAAGTGACAAAAACATTAGCGTCCATCGTGCGTGGGAAGAAAACCTCTTTTTACAGCGAAAAAAACCCCCCTAAACTTCAGAGCAAGCACCGAGTGCGCAACGACGTAATGTGAAATTCACAGAGAAACTCGCGGATTCTTCCACTGACCGCTGCGGCACACCTGCACCAGGG